TGATGTTACAACTTAAATGATCTTAGTATTTAGAGAATGTACGGTACTTGCTCGTGGTAGGACAGGTGAATTAAAAGGATGTTAATTACTTAATTATTGTTTACCTGTACATTCGAGTCTCGTCAAAATGCATGTAAACTCGCGATGGGGAACCCTGTATTTATGTAGGGTCGTAGTTCGCTGTATAAATATTTGAACATTGTCACTGGAGCCTGGCAACGGAATATCTCATTCAGGGACTGCGGGGGCGGTTTTATGAACGATCCATTGAATCTACCCCTCTACCACCCCGCTAACCCTTCACTGGTGTCCTTTTACAAGGGATTTTCAATTACATTCACCAACTAAAATATTCGTGCGGGGTTTTGCTGATTATTATCTTTTACCTTATGAGTTCTTTAGAAGACGGCAATAAGTTTAAGTAAATAAAGGTTTATTACTGGGCTTTGGCAGACAATAATAATGTTTTGTATAACTTTCTTGTATAAAATGTTTTTGATGACGTCAGTGACTGCAAATGAACAAAAGGTGTAGCCTCTTTTCTCTCTGCATAATGTAACGTAAGTTGAGTCGACAAACTTGGAAAGGTAGCTTAAATGATTGAGGTATCACGAATGTACTTGCTGAACAATAAAGTTACTAGCCTACTTCATCTCGGTGTTTTTGCCGAGGTTAGTCTCAGGCATCAATGTCACTTACCTGTCCCGACGTAACACTATAGCAAGAAGTACACAAGTTCCAGGGGGGTGTAGACAAACTACCCGGAAAAATAGCGTATTTTGAGGTCGAGACAGTAAAATGAATCATACAAACATGGGTCTAAAATACGTGGTTTTCCATCTGTATGTGTGTTGTTTGTTGTTTTTGTTGCAAATGTATAATGTACCTTTTGAACGAGCCTATACAAGGATTGACTTTGAACATATTACATGACGTATAGGAAAATATAAGATCATAGCTTTAATAAATGCTCCTGGCTGATGAAAATGGTGATGAGTCAGTAACAAAGCTAAACAGACCATCTCACACCATTCTACACACTTCTTTCACTTCTATTTGGGTTAAAGCACCTGGATGGGGTCTCCATCTCAATAATTGATAATTGAAGACTTATCTGTACCTATCAGATTTTTACTTAGTGCTAATTCAAATTAGCGACCATTTAAAGTAATCTATTTAAACATTTTTAACACTGAGATACGTTTTGCTCCCTGCATGGCTTGTCAAACTCAAACCACCACTGACTTGTGAGATAAGTCAATACTTGCCCAGCGAGGGAGGCTACTCCCACTTCCGCTCTATCTATAGCTCAGCTTCGACTGATTGACGCCTTCAAACTGTACAGATTTGTTTCCAAATTACCCGGAAGTCAGTCTAGCCCTACAGGATCACTTCCGGTTGCCACCTCGCCGTATAAATCAAATTAGTCGGCGAGTTATGAAGGATAGTTTTCGTAATGGCTAAAATTAGTCAGCTTATATTTTCAGTCAAAGAGACAGCGTAAGAGGTTAATTTCCGTTAGAACGCTCGTGCCAAGTTTGTAGTCTTGGCAAGTTGATTTACAAAGGTATTCGAGGAAAATCTCGAAAATTGATAGGGATTTGAAGATATACTAAGTATACGAGAAAATTTGAAACATTGGAACGACTTCGTTTTTGGTGGTGGTGGTAGCTGTACCCGCGGGCTTTGCCCAGATTGACTTCGCATAAGTATTAATAAAACTATTGATTGCCGTACCGGGTTGGGTAGTATTTCGAGTGGCTTTTCATGGTCACTTTGAAGAACAGCATTGGACTTAAAGCTCCTAGGAAGGTATTAAAATAAATACCCCCGCCGCAGCAAACCTGCCGTCTAAGCGAATTTCCATTTGGCCGAATTGATTTTCAATTGATCTATTTAAATAACATTAGGTTTAACGAGTACCTAGGTTTGCTGCTACAAGGAAACTAATAAAGTAGTGTATTTTTAGTAAAATATTGATAGCTTACTATAAAATAAATAAATTTGCCAAGTTTGATCAAAATATATCCATAAACAAGCAAACTACAACATTTTACAATATTCTCCATAAGAATAACATGGGAATTTTAAATTTACAATTTTGTTTAGTTTTCTCCGTAACCAATAACCGTACAAAAACACTTTGATATACTGAATTGTTTTGCAATCATTTACTTCCCTATAGGGAAATTCGCTAAAATGACTATCTCCACTAAGCCTGTGGTTATATTGGCTCTATTCATGAACAAAATCAGCTCATTAGTCAAGTAGTTTTCACGTTATTGATATACTTCAAACATTCAAATTTATAATATTAGTTCCTTTCCATCCAAGGATCCAATTCATTTACTTGATTAGTAATGCATAAAAACTATTAACACGCTACTTAATTAGTTTCCCGGAAATTATTTTTGGAGAAAACAACAATACTTTTTAAAAAAATTTGAAAAAAGTCAATAAGTTGATGAATTATGTACTTGAAAATAAAATTACCCTATTCGCACGATGCCACAACAATTTAGTATTTGACAGTTCACATTTTGTATCACATGGTTTTGTTGCTTGTGTGCCAAATTTCAGCCTCCTAGATAAATGGGAAGTAGGAGAATTAGTGATGAGCCAGTGAGGGCTTTGCATTTTTTATACTGTATGTTAAGATTTCGCCGTGTTTTAGACATTTTTCCCTAAGGAAGGAACTATCCCGAAACGTTATGATAATTTATTTACTGATGAGAGATGTCCGAAATAATCTCTTAAAAAAACACAACACTGGAACGATCTTTTGCAGGATTTGCCATATTGACTGCATTTGACAGATATCTAAACATTTTGGGAAAAAATCAAATTAGAAAGTAGCCTTTTTAAAACGTTTTTATTAGCTTGCTTTCTTGTCCGGTACAAATTTTGCAATCAATTTTATACTAACTTCCCGATGAGCTAGAGACTTGAAACTTGAAACATAGCTCACAAATGGAAGACAATGCAATATTATATAATTTAATTTTCATATTTCCCTTGGGCTACGCCCCAAGGGCTTGTTTTTATTAACTAGCTTTCTTGAAAATTTTGATACTTCCCGATGAGCTAGAGACTTGAAACTTGAAACATAGCTCACAAATGGATAACAATGCAATATTATACAATTTAATTTTCATATTTCCCTTGGGCTACGCCCCATGGGCTTGTTTTTATTAGCTCACTTTCCTACAAATTTTGCAATCAATTTTAAACGAAGTTCCCGATGAGCTAGAGACTTGAAATTTGATACATTGCTCACAAGTGGATGACAATGCAATATTATAGCATTTCATTTTCATATTTCCCTTGGGCTACGCCCCACTCGATTCCAAATTTTTCATGTTTACATTTTGAAAGAATGTAAATATATCAATTAATTCAAGTCAGCTGTAAATACTTAAATTTGACAGTTCAAAAAGCAGAGGTTAAGAGGTACAGGTTCTGCTCCCAAGAGATTCTTTATACAAACAAACATTTCAAAATAAAGATAACCAATCTGATTGCAGATATAGAGGTGTTTGCTAATAATGTCATTTGTTATTTATTTAGTATTCTATAAAGTAAACAATAAATTAAATAGATTGATATATTTATAGTTAGTAGGTAGGCCATACATTCAATCTAATACATAATTATATGGAAATAAACTCAAATAAACCTTAGATTTCCCACATGCCTCTGTCCTAATCTGATATAGATGCATGAAATAGATTTAACATCCACACACATTGAAAACTAAAAAGTAGAAAATAATTCATAAATAAAAAAACTGTTTTAAAACAAAACGTTTTTAAATGCACTAAAAATAGAAAATAATTTATAAATATGTAGAGAGTATAGATACTTGTAAGATTTAAAACGAAAAACGTGGGGTGCATGCAATTGATACTAATTTGTTCAATAGGTGAAGGTAATTGTAAATTATCTATTGCATGGACCCCACGTTTTTCGTTAAAATCTTACAAGTATTTATACTCTCAACATATTTATAAATTATTTTCTATTTTTAGTGCATTTAAAAACGTTTTGTTTTAAAACAGTTTTTTTATTTATGAATTATTTCAAAATGTAAATATGATACGGGTACACAAACCATGGAGATGGTAAGTTTATGTTATCTAATCTTAATGCAATTTAGGCATTTTTCACCTGAGCATGGGAATAGATCCCAGACCCTAAAAAGTAGTGTAAACTTGTTTTTTCAGCGAATTTCGCTATAAAGAAGAAGCTATACCGTCGGTGGAATGGCAAGACAGACCCGAAATCGATTTACTATTTCATTTTGATGTTACCAGAGGTCAAAAAACTTTTTGTTAAAAGTTTGCATGTATAAATATATGGGTGTGTGTCCATGAACACCTTAAACTCCAGTAATTTTGGTCCTATCTTGATAACATTTTGCATGAACGTACTTTGAATATATTTACGAACCAGAAAACAAAGTGAAGACCAGAAAACGGGTCATGAAAACAAAGTGTTTTGAAATGATAAACATGAGCTGTTTGAATTTAATCCAAGATGGATTAAAGAAAAATCCTCCAAGGACTTTTAACAAAACAAATAATTTTGCATATTGAATTGATTGTAGGAAAGGCTATGGAGAATATTAAAAAAACTGTACTTTTAAAATGGGTAGGAGGTTTTACAGAAGTCTGCAGAAGAAAAGTATAGAATAATTGTCTGCATTGGATTTTTTGTTTTTATTTATTTTTCACTAATATACTGTTCCACAAGTAGTTTTTTTCTTCGTTAGTGAACTACGCTTGTAATATTTTAAATCCTTTCTCACCTGACGGGATCAAATTTCACAGTATAGGTGTGAATATATGTTTTAAGTGTTCTTTCTATTTTCATTACTTTCTGTCAAAAAAATATTGTTATCAAAATAACTAAAATAACGATAAGAAAAGTATGAAACTCGCACCTCTTCATGTTGATAAGTAAGGCTAAAATAAGTACATAAATGGACCAAATAAATCCACTTTCAATTTCCAATATCTTTTACTGAATCTTAATTCCATTACACAGTTTTGTAGACAATCATAATTATTATTTACGATGGTAAAAAAAGCTACAGCGTTCCGTCCAACAATATTTCATTAACATAAAACACATGTTGGTTGTTAAACAAACAAAACAGTTTTACCGTCACAAAGTTGACGTTAGCGAAATATATTTAACTAAAATAAATACAATATATATATAACTGATTTATTTGACTTGATCAATCGTTTTAATCACTGGTCGCAAAAGATCAATAAGAAATAATCGAAAGAATTATGAGACGGCAACCAATAAGGGCTGCAGTTGGAGAGGGTTGACTCCTCGACTTGAGAAACATCCACACCAAACAGCAACTCTGGGAACAGGCATTGATTATATATAATAAATCATATACACTATATAGTATATAAGGGCTGCAGTTGGAGAAGGTAGACTCCTCGACTTGAGAAACATCCACACCAAACAGCAGCTCTAGGAACAGGCATTGATTATATATAGTAAATCATATACACTATATAGTATATATATAAAATTCTCGTGTCACAGTGTTTGTCTGCAAACTCCTCCGGAACGACTTCACCGATCGTTATGAAATTTGGTGTGTAAATTCTATAGGTATGCGAATCGGAAGTAAACTATTTCCCGTTTCGAAATTCTTAAAAGGGCTCTGCCCCAGTGGCTCTGGAGTTTCCCATGTTAACCTTATGAGAAATGGAATTAATGAATCTTAACAGCTGTTTCAATTAAACAAGTTGGTTCTGTTCTATGATATTCAATAGCATTAAAGTTACAAGGATTACCAACAGGGTGCAGCACTATTATTTCTTTTACATTTATGACAACAGCTAATTTGCAACCAAAAGGTGAGTGAGCGTAGCGAACGAGCTCCAACCCAAAGGTGAGTGAGCGTAGCGAACGAACCTCAACCAGGACGTGATTGAGCAAGGCAAGTGAGCGCAGCGAACGAGCTCCAACCTAAAGGTGAGTGAGCATAGCGAACGAGCTCCAACCCAAAGGTGAGTGAGCGTAGCGAACGAACTTCAACCAGGACGTGATTGAGCGATGCGAACGAGATCATCTTGAAAATTAAACGTAACGGTACTTTCTTTCCATCGGTCTGTCTTAGGGGAAACATATAACTTCGCAGGGTCAGCTAGTAGTATATAAGGGCTGCAGTTGGAGAGGGTTGACTTCTTGACTTGAGAAACATCCACACCAAACAGCAGCTCTGGGAACAGGCATTGATTATATATAGTAAATCATATACACTATATAGTATATAAGGGCTGCAGTTGGAGAGGGTTGACTCCTCGACTTGAGAAACATCCACACCAAACAGCAGCTCTGGGAACAGGCATTGATTATATACAGTATGTAAGGGTTGCGGTTGGAGACAGTTGACTCCTCGACTTGAGAAAAATCCACACCAAACAGCAACTCTGGGAACAGGCATTGATTATACAGGGTGAATAAAAAGTCAAGACCCCCCCCTCTAATATTTTTCCAAGTAAATATACAGAGATATCCTTTTGGTGGTCGAGCAATCTTAGCAGGAAGTTTCATTTTATCATTTTGAAATTTTTGAGTGTCCCCCCAAAAGGGGGGATTTGGGGGGCAACTCAAATATTTTAAATGTAAACCCCCTTCAAGTGACACCTCATTTTGAAGTGTTTACAAAAACTTAAAGAATGGTGAAAACTAGAGGTCACTATCTCTTCTCTATCCAAAATGGTAGCCCGTCAAATGTTGTGGAAAATCAATGGTAAAATTGTTAATATTGGTTGTCATTTTGGATAGAGAAGAGATAGCGAGCTCTGGTTTTCACCATTCTTAAAGTTTGTTTAAGCACTTCAAAATGAGGTGTCACTTGATAGGGGTTTCTATTGAAACATTTTTAGTTGTCCCCGAATCCCCCCTTTTGGGGGACACTCAAAATTTTTAATGTAATTCCCCTTCAAGTGATACCTCATTTTGATGGTGTTTACAAAAACTTAAAGAATGGTGAAAACCAGAGCTCGCTATCTCTTCTCTATCCAAAATGACAACCAATATTAACAATTTTACCAATGATTTTCCACAACATTTGACGGGCTACCATTTTGGATAGAGAAGAGATAGTGACCTCTAGTTTTCACCATTCTTTAAGTTTTTGTAAACAATTCAAAATGAGGTGTCACTTGAAGGGGGTTTACATTTAAAATATTTGAGTTGCCCCCAAATCCCCCCTTTTGCGGGAACCCTCAAAAATTTCAAAATGATAAAATGAAACTTCCTGCTAAGATTGCTTGACCACCAAAAGGATATCTCTGTATATTTACTTGAAAAAATATTAGAGAGGGGGGGTCTTGACTTTTTATTCACCCTGTATATAGTAAATCATATACACTAATATTCCATGGAAATGGAAGATCATTCATTAAAAACTCGATGATCATGGACAAGTGAAATAACAATTGACTTTACTAGAACGAACCGAATAAATAAGCAAATGCGTCAACTTAAAAACAATATTAGTAAACTTAAAACTAAGACGTCTACTTGATGACATCTTTTCTAGTTAGACAAAGGTTTGAATTTGACGAGATATGTTTGAGTATAAAAGTCATAAATGAGAAGACTTTGAAGTCAACTTAAATCTGTTAGGGGAACAAACTGTAACTGTGTGTGTGTATATATAATTTTTTTTTATGTTTGTGATAAAAAATGTTTTTAAATCTATAAAAAATAATTACCTTTCGTCCATAACAATATTATTATAGTTAAAAGCATTTTTTTAACATTGAAAGGAAAAATTCAAGTGAGTGTTAAACAGTTGACTATTGGATACTGAAGTTGTATTAATAGTCAAAGGTTAAACTTAAATGACTATTTAAATAAAAAATTATGGTGGAAATTACTTTTTCGTACCAAGTTTCTTACTCTTAAAGTTAAAAATAACAGTTTTTATCCAAACCAGATGGTTTAAACTGGAGCAAGTATAGATAAATGTTCTGGACCTATATGAAACAACTTATTGTCGACATTAATCTTTTTCCAAATTTTTTCTGCTTCCTGAAATACAAGAGTTTTAGCAATAAAAAATGTAATTCGTAGGTTGAAAACCCTTGATATTGCTTACACACTATGGTGGTGTACCCAGTAGCAACCATATTGGAACGCTTGCGCAAGTTGACCCGTTCCACCCACCCATGGGTCTACCTACACTGACCCGACATGTAATGAATTTATGTAACATCCCGTCCGATACACGATATTACATTCGGTTATGTTGGCAAGCGTGCCACGACAGGTATGCCAACTGTAACCACAACAATACATTCGTTAATACCTCTCCCACATTGAGCCCAAGGAATGGTTAAATGGTTGGTAAGCTGATGTCAAATTATCTGGATTTTGTTACACAATTAATGTTTTGAACAAGCAATCGTTGAGTATTGTTAAAATATGAGTGAAGTATTTTAGCTGAAAGAATAAAGTGCAAGTAATTTAGAATACTGACTCTATGAATAAGAGAAGTCAGTAGCTTTTGATGGTTCGACATTGTACCATATGCTTAATCTATGATTGTACTCAGCTGTCCTTGATCATTGCGCTTTTAATAGGCTGGTCCTGGCTGAAGAATCAGCTGATCTTGGTCTAACAAAATGTTAACCTTGTTAATAAAACCTTAACTCATCTTTCTACAATAATTGTATAATTCAATCCCCATATTCCCCTTTACACATTTTTCGATCCTATAAATAGCCGTATAATTAGTCGTCAATAGTGGACAGCGTGCAAAAAACCATCACAGAATAGTATACAGAAGTGAAAACTGCTCAGATGAAATAATATTTGGACTACTTATGATGTGCTTATTTATTATGAGTATTTATGTAAAAATAAATTCGGGTTATATTTAATAGTCGAGACACCAGCAACGATCACATAAGACCATGTGATCGTTGGACACCAGTTACTTCTATAAGAATTTTATGCAGCGTTTATTTGTGCCAATCAATTATTTGATTTGGTACTATGCTAACAATTTTTGATAAAACTTCAGAAATGTTTTTGCAGACAATTTTGATAACTTTCTAGATACTGAATATCTGTTTTGAAAATAGTAGGCCCACAAACTTTAGACTCAAGTGAATTTCATTTATAGAGGACAAAAAACATATTTTTTACAAAATTGTTTGTTGAAATACCATGATGGAATTTGAGTAAACACATATTAAAGAATCAATAAATAAAGAGTAAAGAACGTGGCATACTCTTGGTGAAGTCTAAGTTTATGTGTCGAAACAGTTAATATAACTACAGAAGTTGTTCACACACTACCAATATCAATCAGAGAAGACCACATTGTTGGTTGTTTGTTTTTCCTTTGTTCAACCTCAACAATGTCATGATCAATCATTGAGTAACTCAGTAACTGTAATTATAACAAATAAATGTAGCAATACTTTGAAACGTGGATGGTATACTTTGGAATTTCTACACAGGTGCCCAGGCAGTTTGGGTATGACATTTTTTAGTTACTGCTGCAGGTGTTACCAACCTGGTATTAGAGAATCTGGAAGAGCTTCTTTAGCTCTACCATCAGAGCCCAGTCAGTCTTAAGCAGATCATCTCTGAAATAATCTTTGCAGGCATCTATTGATTGTCTGCTTATCTGTAACATACAAAATAAATGCAATTAATAAGGGATTTCCAATAGGCTTAAACAAGGAGCTACTTATAGTCTTGAAAATAGATGTCCCACCTTCACATCCAAGGACGTTGGACTACTAAAGGGTCGTATGATTATTACATGGCTAAAATCCAATGGTGATTGGCGGGATTTGGACCTGGTATCTCGGGGCCCCCACAGATAATGTAAATAAAAGCATTATACGCCAAATTTAAATGAGTTTTACACAATTAACTAAAAATTAATTAATTTTTTATTCATCCTAGAGTTAATTAAATTAATTTTATTGTTTCGCTGTCTTAACTTGTAATTCGATTACTCAAAACGACGTAAACCTGAAACCATACTTTTGCTTTTAGTATATTAACCAACATTCAAGATAAAACTCACAAGTTAGGCCTAAATTTACAATTACGCGTGATTCAAACTTTTCAAATTTCTAAAATAAACTGAACCTGGAGTTAAAGTATCCCAAGAAACATAACAGTGATGACTTATGAGTGTCGTGATGCATACTGTATCTCACGTCACGTTTGCATGTTTTCCAAGAGTTGAACAACCAATCCCAGGCTAATGTGATTTGTGAATCAGTGGCAAGATTGACAACCCGAACCCGGGCAGTAGGGGAGCTCTTTAACCCGGGTACAACATATTTTTTATATGTCATAAAAAACACATCGACCCGGCTCTGGACCTTTCACCCACCGCCATGACAGTATTCAACCATCGATGTATTCAACCCGGCTCCAGCCACCTTACCCATTCCAATTCCACTTACATACACTACTCCCTCCCTACCACTCCTTTCTATTTTCTTAATCACCTCCTCTTTCCGTAGGGTGCCATAGGTTTGCGCTTTCCTTGTCCTCCCGATACCTCACAATAATTGGGGACGAGCTTTATAAAATGGAGGCAACGATTTATTAAATAGTTGGGGACAGAAAACAAAACGAGCATATGCAAGAATGGCAGGGGCTGTAAAATGAAGGTAATTTCTTCCGCTCCAGATTTTTAAAAATAGGGAGATTCTGAGACTATAGTCAAACAACCCACGTCCTTACATTCATTTCTTATAAACTATTAAACATCGTGGCGTCACCGAAATGTCACCTGACCCTAGGGTGAACATATGTATACCTCAAACTCTGTATACAGAATACTATAGCAGGTGTGAGCGTCTGTAGGCAGCGCCCACCGTACCATTACACCAACACTCCGCCCAACTGAGCCTCCGCGCCACCCGGGCCTTGTAAACATGTCCAACATCCAACTTTAGCTAACCTATCACTCTCAGTGCTCACCTGACAATCAAACGGTACCCGGTTCGATCCTGACAAATCACCAGTTTGATGTTCGAAACTGGGCCAAACTGCCCTTAATCATATAGTCAAGACCTATTACTCTCATTGTGGGCTTTTCTAGAAACGGTAAGCTGGATAATTGAGTGGTAATAGTAATAGTCTGACAGTCAAATGGTCAGCGGTTCGATCCTGCTAAATCAGCAGTTTATTGGTTTGAATCTGGGCCCAGTTGCATTTGATCGAGTTTGTATTATGGCCTTGACTCAAGAAACAGTTCATCTTAACTATAGTTATTGATCCAAAAAGACATTCCTATCCGACATTACCGTTGTAGGCAGTTTTACAATGAAAACGTAGTTGAATTCAATCACTAAATGTTATTTACTGATTTCTGTCCAATAAGCCATTTCTCTTTAAGAAACCAAACTGAAAGGATAACTGATAACTTATTGTAAACTATAGCATCTCAAAACAACCATATCACATCAAATAATACGGCAATAACAGCCAAAGGATAAATCAGAAAATTTACTTTTCGAGCACTCTTTGAGTGGCTTGGTTGAACTAAGTTGAATTTGAATAAAACATAGGCTAACGATTGTCCATACAAATCGGATGTTTACTCCAGTAGCCATAAGTCGATGGTCTTAGTAGATAAAATAATGAAGCTACTCAAACCATCTCATTCTGTTATACACTCTTAAATTCATTTTCTGTTTTTCCGGTTTTCCATGTTTCAGTCCAAAACTCAGATGATAAATTTAAGTTACAACACAATACGAAGTTGTTATACTTATAGACATCTCATTTAAGTTAGATAGTTGCCGTGTCTTTATTCGTAAGGAAAAATACAGAACGTGAACCATGATATTTTCAAAAGAAACAAACTTAAAGCAGGGGATTTAAAAACTTGTAAGAAAAATCGGGATACCTAAAAAAATTAAATACTGTTGTAGAAATTACATTTAAGAAAGGAAAGAAAATTAGAGCCTTAAATAATGAATACAACACAAATATGAAGCCTTCATCATCACTTGAGCGGTTATTGACAAAAACATCCTCAATGACCTCAAAACTCCCATTAATGTGTTTCCAAGCTATATTTATCCCCGAAACGTTAAAACAGAATGAAAACTTGCTTCAGGGATGAATGGCCGACCGGGGGTTGGAATGACGTCACTTCGGCACGTGGCTATGACGTCACTATCGCACGTGGATGACCCAAATACTGTCTGGGTGCAAGATTATTTTTAAATATTAATTAGCTCTTCAAATACAAGAATTGAAAAAGAATACTGTTAATGTGGGACACGTTTACCATGTTATGAACCGCGATTATATTTAAAAATTAAGGGGGAATTCAAAGTAACTTGATTGAATTAGAACGAAACACTTTGTAGAGTCAGGAAACATAAGTTTAGTTTTTGCGACGTGGAATGTGGAATCGTCTTTTAACAGCACTAGGCTCCGAGACATCTACAGTAAATTTACGTGGCGTGCGAATTCGGCTTCACTTAACAAAATCGATGGGACGACATACTTTGAAACCGAACACGAATTCCAATTTAGTGCGTTAAGAAGCATCCGACGTTTCTAAAAGTCGTATCCCACCATTCTCCATTCTATCCTTAACCTTTACTCATATTCTGGTTAAAATACACCCAATTACCTATCTCATTTGCCAATCTATATACTTTTTATAATAAAGTTTTCCTCTGTAACATCCCTTTTCCAGCAGACCTACTTAACCGATTTCTACAATTGGTGAGTCATTTTACAGCATAAAGGAGATGCTAATGGTAACTAAAAGTGTAATTCCTAGAATATCACTTCCTGGCGTTTAATTTAAGTAAGTAGGCCTAGTTTCTAATCGCCTCACAAATGCTTTAAACCAATCTTTGTGAGGCATTGCATTGCATTATCCGTTTCACATCGGAAACAAGTTGTGAACCCTGTTAAAACGCGCGGGTCCTTTTGTATAACCATAAGTTGGACGCAAACAGACTACACTTTCCAGATCAATGAACCAGCGCTAGAGAGTAGCGAGTTATCAATGACTGGTTGACAATCAGGTCACACACTGAGGTGTCACAAACCGCCTGCGATCACGTGCGACGCTGGCGGACGTAGCGATATCGCACGGACGTGACTACGCGAACAAACAACTTTCATCGCTTTATCAGTACACCACGCTACACCGCAGTGAAAGTGACAATACTAAAGGATGAATAATCTAATTGTGGCTAGCGATATCGTGAACGCCCCGTGTTTCCGTCCAACCTACGGCCACAGACAAGTGTAGGTTATAGTCTGTGCTACGACGCACATTCATTGATTTATACACCCCATTCCCATGTTAAATTCGTCACCAATTATTTTTTGAACCAAAAAGGACGTAGGTAAATTGAGCCATCCGACAGAGTGCGTTGGTGTATTCACTGATTTTCGTAAAATATGTAAAAAATTTAACAGGCTAAAGTGAAATTACAGCTTCTTGCAAACAAACTATAGAATCTTCTTCTTTACATCAATTATCATTGTATCTACAACTAAGGAGTAAAAGAGATTTTTTGCTGCAGCAAACTCTGTCAGTGGCTCATTCAAGTACGTTTAATTCAAATAAATATTGTCCACATCAATTATTGATTATCATAAATCATTGAAATGGGGACGCCCATATGTGCGCATTTAAGCCCAAATACTTAACTTTGAAAGACGACCATACTATGAATGGAGATGAGAATATGAGTGTAGAATGGTGTGAGATGATCTGTGTAGCTTTGTTACTGGCTAAGATCAGCTGTTTCATTAGCCACGATCATTTATTTAAAGACCAATGATCAGCTGGGTCCAGTCGTGTATTTCATATTCAGTATCCAAAAGTCAATAAACTCTAATAACAGTGACCCTTATATAGCGCAAAATCATTTAACACGATTTGAACCTAGCTTTGACCTAATCACCACTCCTCATTGACTCCCTTACCATTTACCGAGGGAAAATGAGACCTCTTCAACGGTTAAGTCACTCCGACATTGGCAAAATTAAGGTCACACAGAATGTACGACTTCAGTAAGACAGCTAAACACGTTGTGTACTTACCTTTAAGCCTGAGAATGAATACATGGTAGGGACAGAATTGAGCACGATAAATTAAAAAGACTGAATGAAACTAAGACTAGAACTAGTCAAACTGAACCCAATACGGAAATTTACTACAAAAACCAAAACCTATTAAGAAAACTGAAAAAAAGACAGCAGTAGGCATAAATTAAAAACAATGTAGTGGCGGTGATGATAAAATAGTACGTCTCAGTCTCGCATTTCAAATTTTATCTTTTGTGAATTTTGATAACACTAGATCACCACTAGAGACAATTTACCTAATCCCCTACTTCATTAATATTTTAAAACACCACCAACTAAACTTAGATAAAATTCACCACGATCAATCTTAGCGTCATATTTACACCAGTTTCGTGTATGTTTTAACCATGTAATCAATGAGGTAAACCTGTCCAAGGACCGTATGTTCTCACATTACTGACTAGCGACTAGTGAGTTAGCAAGTTCCCACTCATTGTCTACTAATAAGATGTACGGAGAGTAATCCATTTTTGACGAAACCTTGAGTCCCACGAACTATAATAATTAACAGTCTTGGTAGGGAAGTTTACGAAA